CAGCCACGTGCTATAAATACTGCACTCCTGGTGCCACATTCACCTCTATCTGCGAATGTCTCTGATGATGGATTCGAGTGAGAATCCGAAACGTCAGGCAAATAAACGTCTTGTCCCAGTGATCGCATCTTCATCTTCTGATTTCTAAATAGTGCACAAAGATGAAACAGCTGTTAGTGGACTAGATAGGCAACCAATCCGCTAAAACAATCGACAACTCTACACTGCCGTAAATCAAAAAATGTGCGTAAATTCAATGAAAAACACCGAATAATAGCGAGGGATTTCCTGCTGATATTCAGAATACAATATTTACAACTTGATATGCTCTGCTGATGCTGCTGCTTCTGCTGCTGCCGCTGATGATGATGATGCTGATGATGATGATGATGATGATGATGAAGATGATGAGGATGATGATGATGATGACGATGATGATGATGATGATGATGATGATGATGATGATGATGATGATGATGATGATGATGATGATGATGATGATGATGATGATGATGATGATGATGATGATGATGATGATGATGATGATGATGATGATGATGATGATGATGATGATGATGATGATGATGATGATACATATTTCAAAGGAGGGCACATTAAATCCGAATATTGCTTAAATCTCCGAGCTATCACAAATAGCATGCTCGACGGTGAGGAACATTCTGCAACCTGCACTATACATAAATATGCACTTTAATTACATATTCGCAAGTAAACATAAAAATCCAAAAGGAACAGTAGCAAAGGGCAGGATGCTATCTGTGAAAGTATGTCAAAGATACCTGCCAAAAACATCAGCAAATGCAATCAGAGGAGAAGAGTTGAATGGACTGGACAACAGTACTCACCAACAGCATGCAGTGAAGAAAGATCAAGCAGATGAGTTTCGTTCATGGATGATGACTGGGCACCAGCGATCAGCTGTCCAACCAAATCGGTTGACGAGGTAACCGAAATGGGAGTACTCCACACGAAGACCACAACCAGCCTAATTCGAGCAACAAATGGGCCAGGAAGGAATTTGGACACGCTGCAGGTTATTCGGGCCTGGCGGAATGCAGCGTTTGGTCCCAGACGCAGCAACAGGAGGAACTGTGTGGTGGAGACAAAAGACTGCATATCAGAAGGTGGCAGAAATATCCGAGGAATCGGGAATCGTGCGAGGAACGATGAAGTTGTTAGTGTCGTTAGTGGGAATGATGATGATGTTGACGACGACGACGACGACGAGGATTGTGGTGGTGTTGGGGATGATGGTGGTGGTGGTGGTGGTGCTGCAGCTGCTGCTAATGCTGCTGCTGGTGGTGCTCGTGGTTGTGATGGGAGTTAAGTTCAGTTCAGTTGAGTATATTTGAGGGAAATATAGGTGTTAAACCTTTGAACTCCCTATTTGTTACAAGGACGCGAACAATATATAAAATTTGAAAATTGAAACATCAAACTGCTACAGAGTTTCTTCAGATTGGCATCGTGTTGTACGCCAGACAGATAAACGAATTGTTCCAAGAGTTAAAAACATTAACGTTACTAAATGTGCTGTACAGTAGTCTGTCTAGGGATAGTTGTTGCTATCTCAGTTTCGGAGGGAGACGAATTGAATGCCAACACACATTCAACAGACATGGGACAATATTAAAAAAACAAACGTTACTGAAATATAGAAAGTAATATAGCAACATTAATAAACTGTTCGCACGAAATGGTAGACAATCTGTCTGGTGGCGTTGTGACGATTGGTGGCAATGTAGTCCAAGTTGCGCTTAAAAGCCTCGACGGAGGTGGACATGACGACACCTGCAGGCAGAGCATTCCAGGCTTAGATCACTCTGTTTGGAAAGAAGAACTTCCGAGTGTCCAGCTTGGCGCCAGTTACGCGTAGTTTAAGTGGATGACCTCGGAGTTTCGTTGTGGTCGCTATCTCAAAGAAATCAGTAGGTACGAGACAGCAGTCCTGGCCGCGCAGTATACGGAATGTTTGTATAAGGTCGCCTCTTAGCTGTCTGTAACTCAGTGGAAAGAGACCGAGGTTGGACAATCGGGTTTCATAGGGTAGTGAACCCTGTCCACTTACGAGTTTGGTTGCCCGCCGCTGAACTATATTAAGGATGCTGAGATCTTTAGAGGTCCACGGTTTCCACGCCTGAATAGCGAACTCTAGCTGTGGCCGTACGAGTTCGCTATTCAGGCGTGGAAACCGTGGACCTCTAAAGATCTCAGCATCCTTGAGAAAGTTCGGAGGCGGGCAACCAAACTCGTAAGTGGACAGGGTTCACTATCCTATGAAACCCGATTGTCCAATCCCGGTCTCTTTCCACTGAGTTACAGACAGCTAAGAGGCGACCTTATACAAACATTCCGAATACTGCGCGGCCAGGACTGCTGTCTCGTACATACTGATTTCTTTGAGATAGCGACCAAAACGAACCTCCGAGGTCATCCACTTAAAATACGCGTAACTGGCGCCAAGCTGGAAACTCGGAAGTGGTGGTTGGTTGGGTGGATTAAATTAGAGGAGGGCGCGGACAATAAGGAGTTGAATGTGGAAAAGCAGATAGATGAAGGAGATAATCAGGAGCAGGAGTAGGAAGGCAGGGAGGGAGGGAGGGAGGAAATATGGCTTATAAAAGTTAAAAATGTGAACACCGACCTGTTTGCATATTCTTCCGGCGACGAGTTTGGAGGAAGAGCTGCTCATATCATAGTAATCGTTCAACCAGGGTTCCGGTTCTCCACTCGTCCCAATCACCCGAGTTTCAGAGTTGTATGTTTTCGTCAGCACTAAAATCACCACAGCCATAGAATGCGGTGATAAATGTAAAACCTCAGGTTTACGACGTAATAGTCAACATCAAATTTCATATCTCTGTAGTCATTTCTCCTCTCCATATCATTGCTATTATCATTCTCCCTATCGATCACTTCCCACATTTACTTCCCAGTTTATTTGAAGAAATGCATGTATGTACGTGGAGCGCAAATGTTAGCATTTGCTGCTGGCGCTCCGAGTCAATGCAACCTCACCGATTTCTTTTTCGCACTTACCTCACTCCCTCATTTAGTCCTGAGGCTGTGGATTTGGAAACCCGTGGCCTATTTCTGAGTGGAGACGGACACAAATCTACATATGGTCTTTTGGCTCCTTTCTATTTACGTTGATAATTCCATGTTCGCCCTTACTACCCCTTTCCACTTCTGTTTACTTCTCCATCTGCACAATAACAACAATGTTTCTTCTAAGATAAATGCGTGAAATTCCACTCACGCAGAATATGCCCTCTACCCTAAATTGATTCCTTCGCCTCTGGCATTCTACTACTACTACCACTACTACTACTACTACTACTACTACTACTTCCTCTTCTTCTACACTGTTGAACGCCATGACATATTACTACTGCCCTCGCTATCACTTCTTCGTCTTTGGAAGCAAATCAGGTAAAAATACTGCATACATATTCCTCAGATGCTGGGAAGTAGAGTGAGGTAAATACAAATGATTGGAATCAAGGTGTTCCCACCTGAAGAAGGCGTGCTCATCGGGAATGCAGTGGTGAAGGCCGAAGTGCCGTTGGAAGACAGGTCTACAAGGGATTGAAGGGAAATTCGAATGCAGCATGCAGCCAATAATCCTGTTTCCTATCCTTTTCTCTATTCAAGTTAAAAGAACTCCACTACCTTTGATAGCACAGGCAACAGTCAACTGCAAGCTGTACTGATAAAGGAACCATCACTATCATCGAAATCGTGGTATTTAAGCATTTACAGCTCTGTAATTAATTAATCATCATTGTCAACGGCTATTTATGCAGAATGTGAGGAATTTTCGAGAGGTTTTGTCCGTAATACATGTCCTTGTCTGCCGGCCATGCCCAGAAGACCTGAGATGTTAACTCTAGTAGGTTTGCCTACAGAGCTACTACATGAGCCCTGTTCATACACTCTGTCGACTAACACAGGCAGCATTCCCAGCCACAGTAGACTGGCGTTTACGCATCTGGCCCTAGTTTCTTAATGCACCCTTGAGGCTCTCATATCTGGAGCCCTTTGCAGACTGCTCTGTCTGACACGCCAGCAGCAGCAGCAGCCTTTCGTCTGACATTCTGTGACCCTGTATGTTACTGCCATCGTGTGTAGTCAGTCACTGAATCCAAGACTGATGCTCACCTAATCGCAGCTGTCAATTCACCCCAGGCTTGATGCAAAAGGACACTGGGACAGCTGTCCCTTCGTCTCTCGTCCTGCTGCCAAATTTCTTCTTATGCTCCCATCTGTACTGAATGCAGTTATCTTTCTTCTTATGCTTAGCATCTCACTTTCCCAGTTGGATCCTCATCTGAAGGTCGTAGCAGTTAGGGTATGCTCATGACTTTAACTACATAAATAACTTTCAGCCAAGTTTCCTCCGTAGCCGCCGCCAACAGGGTCTGAAACTTAAACCCATATAAGTATGTTTTAAAGTAAACGACCTTACTGTTTATCCAAGGTTCGAGATCCTCCCGGTCCTGACTGGAAGTATTCAAAGCCGCCATATATCAGTGAGAATTAGTATAGAGGTGGCCATTTTGGTTTCTCTTGTCTCTTTCAGCAGTACGTTTTTAGTTGTATTTTATTCTTTGCTATGTAGTCGCCACCTGTGACATCTCTGCGCCCTTCCGCTCTCACCCCATTCCTGACATCGACTGCATTTACCTCAGCCCCGCACCATCTCCACCGTACAACTTCCCAGTTTTGCTGCAAACTAATTATCACAGAACTGAGGTTACGATCACAGCACTAAATATATACTTCGCCCCCCTAGATGGTATGCGGATTCCGGAGTCGCTCCCGTACCTTGCATTTGTCAGGAAAGGGGGAACCAATTAGAAAAACTGCTACTTCCGCCAATGCTGATGGCAGCTGCTCTGTGGACGGAAAATGACAGCACTTTGGCCCTTAATATACGGCTCAATCTGCGAAGGCCTCCTCTCAACAGGATGCTGACCCATGATCCATGTATCAGTTTGCTGAGCTCAATACATAGCCGAAGTCGGATTCAAACTCCAGGTTGTCATATTCTGGGAGTTGCGCTACATTTGATATGCCGATGGTCACTACTGGATTTGTTATGTGGTCTTTTTGGTAGCCTTATATTCCTTGATGGGAAAGTAGTCCTATTTTATGTCCGTTTACCCGATCATGTATAGACCTACAAGGATAGCCATAGACTCCATCTTGACAGCCAATGCGTACACACACGCCTCAGTGGTCATCAACTTATTTTACTATTTCATCATTATTCTGTTGCATAGGCTAATAAGTTTTGCTTAATTCCTTCTCGTTCTGGTCAATGTCTCTTATGAAATTTGGTTCTCTGTATACACAGACCACCGACAGGCGACCGTATGCATTTCGCACCAAAAATTCTGGCTAGAACGCAAATCCATACCAGCAGAGTTCGAGGAACTTACCTGTACTCAGGGCATCTGTCGAAGTCGCGTTCGGGGCGATTTCTAAAAAGTGCACAACGATGAAACAGCTGTTAATGGAATAGATAGGCAACCAATCCGCTAAAACAATCGACAACACTGCAGTGCCTTAAAGCAAAAAATGTGCGTAAATTCAATGGAAAACACCAAAGAATCGCAAGGGATTTCATACCCATCTTCACAAAAAGTTTCCACAAATTTAAATGCTTTGATAACCCTGCTGCTAATACATATGGCAAACGCGGCCACATAAAATCTGAATGTTGCTTTAATCACCGAGCTATCACACATATCATGCCCAACAGTTAGGAAAAATTTGCAAACTGCACTATACATAAATATGAACAAACATCTGCCACTATAATTACATATTCGCAAGTAAACAAAACTATCCAAAAGGAACAATAGCAAAGGGCAGGATGCTATCTGTGAAAGTATGTCAAAGATACCTGCCAAAAACATCAGCAAATGCAATCAAAGGAGAAGAGTTGAATGGACTGGACAACAGTACTCACCAACAGCATGCAGTGAAGAAAGATCAAGCAGATGAGTTTCGTTCATGGATGATGACTGGGCACCAGCGATCAGCTGTCCAACCAAATCGGTTGACGAGGTAACCGAAATGGGAGTACTCCACACGAAGACCACAACCAGCCTAATTCGAGCAACAAATGGGCCAGGAAGGAATTTGGACACGCTGCATGTTATTCGGGCCTGGCGGAATGCAGCGTTTGTTCCCAGACGCAGCAACAGGAGGAACTGTGTGGTGGAGACAAAAGACTGCATATCAGAAGGTGGCAGAAATATCCGAGGAATCGGGGATCGTGCGAGGAACGATGAAGTTGATAGTGTCGTTGGTGGGAATGATGATGATGTTGACGACGACGACGACGACGACGACGACGAGGATTTTGGTGGTGGTGGTGG